CCAGAGGCCACCTCAAGCCTTAAGGGATAACTGCATGGCTCTAAATCCTCCCCTACATAAACCAGCCCTATATCCATTAATTCTTTAATTCATTAGTCCTTCTCTTTTAGAAGAACCTTCAGCCTTGATTTTAAAATTTCCACCTCAGTGCTTGGTAAATTATTTCAGTGGTTCATTTTCCTCACTGTTAAAAATGTCGACTGTATTCCCAATATGAATTTTTCTAGCTAGTTGATCTTATCATTTTTACCATTTCATTTTCTGCTAAATTTCAGAATCCTTTTTTATCAAAATTCAGTTCCCCACAGAAATATTCATAGACTGTTTTCCAACAACCCCTTTACTTCCATTTCGATAGGTAGCCCAGTCCTTTAATCAGTCTCATGATTTTTTAGCAGTTTTCCTGAAATGTAAGTGCTAGAGCTAGTCACAGTACTCCAGTAATGGTTGTGTTAATGCTGAATGCAGAGGGAAGATAACCTTCTTATTCCTACATTTTATTCAATCTTTAAGCACCCAGTGGTCACATTAAGCCTTTAACCACAGTCTCAGGCTGGGAGCACATGTGAGGAACTATAGAAGGATCTGGCATAACTAAGTGAATGGACAACTAGATGGCAGATGCAGTTCAGTGTAGATAAGTGTAAAGTGATGCTCCTGGACAAAAATAACCCAAACTATACCTATACTATCATGGGCTCTACATTAGCTGTTACCACACAGGAAAGAGATCTGGGAGTCATTGTGGGCAGTTTGGTAAAAACATCAGCTCAGTGCTCAGCAGCCATCAAAAAGGCCAACAAAATGTTAGGGATTATTAAGAAGGGAATTATAAACAAAACCATATCATTATGTCACTTCATAAGTGCATGATGCATACACACATTGAATACTGTGTCCAGTTCTGGTCCTCATAGCTCAAAAAAGATATAGAAGAACTAGAAAAGGGCAGCAAAGATGATTAGTGGTATGGAGGAGCTTCCATACGAAGAGAAACTAAAGGGTGCTTGTTGACATGCAGGGACGCACACTGCTCCAACATGCTGTATTTACTGCATAACACTGTGAAGTCTGCAGGAGCGTGCTAATTAATATGCTCCAGCAGCCTCCGTGTCTTGTGTTCAGCATCCCCGTGCTTCAAAATGGTAGTGAGAGTGCTTTAAGTAAAGCTTGTCAGATGAGCTTTAGTTAAAGCACCACCATTGCCATTTTGAAGCCCAGGATGCTGAATACACAAGATGCTGCAAGCGCTTTAGTTAGAGCGCATTTCACAGCCACTTAAAGGACCCCACCACCAACAACCCCCAGAGCACATGTAAAGACGTCCAAAGAGGCTAGGCCTATTCAGTTTAGAATAGAGATGCTTGAGGGTTTGGGACATGATAAGCATTCACAGAATACTAAATGGTGAAGAGAAAGTAAATAAGGATTTTTATCTGCTCTCCCACAACGCAAGAACAAGGGGGTCACATAATGAAACTAGTAGGTAGTGAGTTTAAAACTAACAAAATGAAGTTCTTTTTCACACTACATGTAATTAAAGTGTGGACCTCATTGTCACCAGATGTGGAAGCCGATAGTTTAGCTAGATTGAAAAGGGGATTGGACAAATTCTTGGAGGAAAGGGACATCTATAGCTATTGAGCATGGGAGTTAGGAAGCTCTGAATCAGAACCCTAAATGCTGGAAGCTGCAAGTGGGGTGGGGAGGAGGGGCGAAACCCTGGTCATACCCAGTTCCAGCTCCCTTTCAGCATCCACCCTTGACCACTGTGATGTGGCACAGGATACTTGGCAAAATGGACCTATAGTCTGACCCAGTAAATGGCAATTCTTAAGTTCTTATTAAATGCACTTGATTTGGTTGCTCCCAGCTTGCCAAGAGATGCAGATCACTGGGTGCATCTACACGTGCACATTTTCTATGCAGTAACTGAAATTACTGCACAGTACAAATGTGCAGTGCACACCCATACTGCACAGTAAATATGGTGACTTATGCTGACTTGAGCATAAATTTGATACCTGCATCATGTAGGTATCAAATTTACACCTGATTAGTTACTGCGCAGTAATGCACAGGTAGACACTGTATTGCGCAGTAACACTGTATATGTGGACTGACTTTAGTCACACCCGAGTTAGTCCACACATAGCGTTTAATGCCTGCACGTGTAGACACCAGCCTATTCCTGCTTACTGTGCAGTAATTTACTGTGCCGTAAATTTAAGCTGGTAAAATTGCATATGTAGACACTCCCCCTATGTGTAAGTGAACTGCCCTATTATTATTTTTTTTACTATTCCCTTAATCTGTGTCATCTGCAAACATTACTGATGAAGATTGCATACTTTCTTCATAACCATTAATAATAAATATTGGGCGAAAAAACAATTCCTGCTGGAGCCCCTCCAGAAAGCCACCTGCTTAATAACATTTTCGCATTTACATACTATGTTTTGAGATTTCTAGCATTAGGCAATTTTAATTCATTGATTTTAGTATTATTCTGGCTTTTTAAAATCAAAATATCATGAAAAGTCAAGTACCTTACAAACAACTATTAAATCAACACCTTATCAATTAAATTTGTTGCTTCATCCAAAATTATATTGGATTAATTTGACAAGTTCTGTTTGTCACGCTGATAGTTTTTACATTGCCATTTTGTTTATAGGCAGGATCTATAGTAAGTGCCACCTTGTTTCTTTGTATTAGTTGTTCATCTTTGAAAAGATGGTTAAGAATTTTGTATCACTGCTTCCCATATTAAACCAAAAGGACCTCTATATTCTCTACAAGAATACAGACCTTCAAAAGTACAGTATAGAGTTCAACTAAAGGACATGAGTCTCACCTTAACATTGACTTGCCCAATTATACTTTCAGGTTCCCAATGTGTTTGGATCGCATCTCTACTTCTAGGGCACAGATGTGCTGTTCTATTCTGACTTTAATCCCTTGGGAAAGGTATTGCAGGGTTTTTGGGTGGGGATCAAGCTATAATACCCAAGTCTCTGTGGTACAGCTGCCATCAGTGGTGAGGGAGGTGAAGAAGAGGAATCTCTTATTTTTTGTTTTGCCAGCGATGCACATGAATTATTACAAGAGTGCGTCAGGCTACATGTTGGTCTTGTTTTCCGTGTTATCCTCTTATATTTATTACTGTTCTGTTTTTATTTTTACAGAGCAGACTCCCTTAATTGTACTTACAGTAGATCATCCAAAGCATATTATTTAAAGATTAATGTTTGCATTGATTTATAAAACTGCACTTTGACTTGACATTTTTACATTTCAAGGCTTATTTTTCTAATCACAGCTGAAAGGAAGTTTTGGATCTGTATCACTTAATGATGGAGCTAGAACCCCAAGGATAACAGATTTCATGTTATTTTCTCTGCTTGGATTAAGCAGTCAGCTTTTTCCCCCCTAATTAATTACTTTTTATTTTAGAACTCTTGAGGATATAACAGTTTGCCATCTAAAACAGCATGCCAGCCTGAGTGGATTTCATATATATGAGTTTTTGTCAACAGTTAATGTAAACACCAGCAAGTAAATTAAAATAAACACTTAATCTCAAAGAATTTCTTAAGGCATAACAGACAGTTCCTGGCTCTTTATTATATATAAGCTATATAATTTGCATCTAAGAAGCAGATACAATGATCTATCACTGTAATAAGTAGGTGTATTTTCATTTCAGCAGCCTATCCCCAGCAACTTGACATCTGTATCCTATTTTCACTTATTCTTAGTACTGCTCCTCATGATCCTGGCTGTTTTGTATTTTGAACCTGTGCCAACATCTGTTTTCCACAGCACGCAAGCTGAAAAAGCTGGGCAACCTGAAAGTACAAGAGGATGGGGAGGCAGCCAGCTCATCGAGCCCTATGGAGGAGCAAGCTCCCAAGATGATGATGACACGCATGGATGGGTACGATTGCCAGCCCATCTTCCTCAATGTTCTGGAAGCCATTGAGCCTGGTGTGGTGTGTTCAGGCCATGACAACACCCAGCCAGACTCCTTCTCCAACCTCCTGACCAGCCTGAATGAGCTTGGGGAGAGGCAGCTTGTGCATGTGGTGAAATGGGCAAAGGCCTTGCCAGGTAAGGCAGCACATGATGCATCACAACACCTTCCCCCACACTCTAAAAAACCATCTTGTGCAGATCATCCCAGGGATACATTTCAGAGGGAGTGTCCTGTAACACGGGCCTCCATATCACAAGATTCATGTAGATACCTTTGCAGAAGGGTCTCTTCTGTGGGTAGAAATCACACACAGAAGGAGTGAGGGTAACTCTCATCACCAGAGGGGTTTCCCTCTAGTGGCCATGTAAAAGAAATGAGTGCTGCAGCTTCCAGCAAGGAAAGTAGAAGCTTGTGCTTTTAGAAGTTTCATTTGGTTTCATTGCCTGTTGATGACCCGTGGCAGGTGGTTGTCTTATAAGCATGTTCTTTTTTTTTTTCTTTTACTTCTACATTTAAATCCCTGCTGCAAATCTGAGTATTAGGCTCTAAGTATCTGAATGTTTCCTGGACCACCAGAGATGACTTGCTGTAAAGAGAGGAGGCCATTCTGTTCCTCTCTCTGCAGTGATCTCTTTCTGCTTCTGGAGCTTCTAAACTGCTCCTTAAATGAAAGATCAGCACCATAGACAACATAAGTCCTATGAGAGAGGAAGGAGTAAATCCTCTAGGTAGAAGGAATGAAAACAGTGCCACTTGAGGAGGTAGCTTAGGGAAGAGAAGATCTGATGAAACCAGGCTAAAGATAGTTGAGAAATAAGATACATTGGCAGGAAGGGTTCTGTTCCTCCCAGCCTGTTTTGCCTGTACCTCAGTGTGCTGAAATTCCATATATTATAATTCATTCAGGAAATCTAACTACAGATATCTCTGTCACACACAACTACAGAAAAGCAATCATGCTCTGAACTGCAAGGCCAAACATCCTTAGAGTTTGGATTACTTGGTATAATAAGTAATAACTTCATTAGATAGCTATCATAAGTAGCATAGTAGATTATGTAGTTAGCAGATTAGCACTGTTTTATAGTTTAGAATGTACTGCAAGAAAGAGCAACAGAAGATAATCAGGTTTCAGAAATGGTTATCCTGGGGCAAGCATGAGGCGAAATCTGAATTCCAGACATATGCTCCAACTTCTTTAATCCTCTAGCTTCCACAGATGCCTCTTGCCCTCATTTCACTTTTAAAGTTCAGAATTGTCAGCAGCCTAACAATCAGAGATTGTATTCCGTTGTGCCTTTTGCAGAGGGACCAACTGATTACAATACCTAGCAAATATAGCAGCAAACCCATAGAGAGCATTGTGCTCAAAATAGGTTTAAAATAACAGATTTAAATCTTAATATCTGTTTTCTCCCTAAAAGTATCTGGGCCAGTCATTGTGACATGATTTCACACAACAGACTTTAAGTGTTCTGTGTAGGGTTTCTGTTTGTTTGGCGTTTTTCATTTTGTTGAATAGGAAGTTTGAATTTGGGGTCTGGCTGAAATTTTTCCTGGACAGCTGTACTTCAGTGTTGATAGAAAACGGGTATGTAATGTGTATACAGCACTTGAAAGAAAGGTAAATCTGAGGGCCTTGCTTCTTTTATCTTGTTTTCTGAAGCTCGTTATACTAGGTCTTGGATCGTTTTAACTGTGTTTTTCCCATGATAACAGAAGGTTGATGTGTTGTGGTTACAAAACATCTGGGCCTTGGCAAACCTCAAATGCCTTCTCTTTTCTATCAGGAACTACATTTTTGGTCATATTTTATCACATAACCAAGAATATTTCACTTAGGATCTTTCTGCACAAAACAAAGATAAAAACAAACCTGAAGCAGCAAGGAAATGACAAGTTGGGCCTCAGCAGTAGATACCCAGAGCAGTACTACTCTATTCATTACTGCAAACCATCCACTATAATTGCAGTGCTGCTTTTTAAGAAGGCTGCCCTTCCATCACTCCTTCGACTATCTTTCTGTACCCAAGCTTTTATTCAACTGATTTTTCTGTACAACCAGCTAGTTCAGAGGAAATAATCTCCAGGATGGTGAAAATGACATAAAGTTGAGGTTATGGTGCATGTTCTATGGTGAATGATACGCTTTTTGGGGTAAAGGGCTGTCTATGTGTTTTATGTCTGGACAAGAACAATATATGCTAAATAATTAACATTACTAACAACAATACTTAACATTACTAGAAACATTAAATATATTAAAATAAACAGTAACGGCAAAGTATGGCCTATGAGGGAAGAAGTAGAGGGTAGCTTTTTATTTCTAGGAGGCCTGCCTTTTCAGTTCCTAGTTGTTATGTGTCTGAGTCAGGCACATCATACTGCTTTACACAGACATTTTATGTATTAATAATCAGCTATCTGGGAGAGACAGAATAGGCAGCTGAATGTCTAATTTTGTTTAACAGGAAGCTGGAAGGCAAAGGAATTGTGAATAAGAGTTCCTTGTATAAGCTAATTTGCCAACTCCCTTCTCTTGAGAACTCTTTCCTTCCCTGTATAGAACGTATGGAGACCTCACCTCAATCCTGCACTTTTACTCCCCACTTGTTCAACTCTTTATCCTTTTGATCTAGTTTTCTGAAAGAAGAAAAGAGAAAAAAGTAAAGCCCAATGCTTGGGGTACTCTTTTCTATAGTGCCAGTAAGTGGTGTATGGAGACACAGAATGGATGACAAAATGATTCATAGTTGTAGCTTAACATTGTAGTAGTAGTTGTAGCACCCCTGAGAGCAGGGGTGCTCTCCTGGACAGTTTGGGGTTGCTGACTTAGGAACTCACCCTGTCCTGGGCTTCCCAGAATCAGCCCCCTGATCTTCCCAACTTGATGAAGGGAACATGTCGGTTTGCTTGCCTGTGGCCTCTTCTCTCAGCCTGCCTGCACCTGCCTCTACCTGACTCATGCCCACCCTGAGTAGGGATGCTAGATTTTGTCTTGCAGCAGATCTTGCCCTGTTATGGTTATTCTTCTAGTCTGCATGTCCAGCTTCTTCAGTCCCCAGCCTGCTCTTTCCCATGCTCTAGCTCTCTTATGTACACCAATAAAATCTCTTCCATCTCTCTCCTCTTATAGTTTGTACAACAAACGCTAAGATCCCAGTCCTTCCTTAGGTCTAGCAGTGATTGTATTTCTTCTTATCCTCACTAGCTCTGTAGACATTCTAACTTCTCCTGGCCCCTTTGTACCCTTTTTTCTGTGTTTATATTTGCCCTGGAATTTAGCCCAGGGACAGGGATCTTTGGCCTTAGCTAACCCAGCCACCGACACCATGGTGGATGATGTACTCCCCAGGGCCAGCTGAAAAAGTCCATATCCAGGGACTGTGTGCACCTTTACCTCCACTCACTCCCTCTTGGGTCTTGCAGTGTCCTTTAAATGCTCATTGGATTTAAAGCCTCATTGGATGCTTTATCCCAAGCCATCCTCTGTCTTTTTTTTTGGAGGACAAAGAAACTGTGATTCTTAGTTATACATTGTCCTATCTCCCCAGCTGTCTCTACTATGGACACTAAAAGATATCATAGAAGAGTAGGGCTAAAAGGGACCTTGGGAGATCATCTAGTCCAACCCTCTGTTCAAGGCAGGATTATCCCTATGTAAACCATTGTAGTCAAATGCCTGTCTATTCTAAACAAACAGGTATGAACAACCCTCATGTGAAACAACCAGGCATAATGCTTGAAAAACATCAAAAACATCCTAATTAGTCACAGTTAAAACAGGGGGACAAGGGTGCTGTCAAGGTCCTGCCACTGCAATGACAGGAAGTTTTGTTTTATTCTGTCTTTTTAAAGAACACTCAAGAGATCCAAGAAACAGGACCATATTCCCTGCTACAGATGAAGGCAAACACACACACACTCATGCCAATCTGATCCTGAAGTCAAATTCCTTCCTGATCCTAAATGTGGTGATCACTCTGCCCTTGAGCAGTGAAACATCAGCACACCCCAGCCAAAATTATCTGTATCCACATTACCGCACTTACTCTGGCTTCCTCACTTGGTCCCATTGCTTAGAAAGCTGGCATAGTGTTGTTGTCCTTCTTATAAGATCATGAAGTGATATTTCTTGTGACAGGTTACTGGGTTTGTGTGACCCGCACCTCTCAGGTGGAACTAAGAAAGGTCATCCCTTAACCCTTGAGACCTGAAACGGTCCATTCTCCTCAGTTGGGGCACCCACATCTGCTTCACCCTTGATGCCTTCCCCACGCCAGGAGAAAGGGTTTGAGGGCTCTGTTTCTTCGTTCAGAAACAACCTGGCCAATTCCACCTCATCCTGTATATGCAGCATCTCTTCAGATGGCTATTTCACTGGTAATTGTGCATGGACACCTGAAACATCTTTCCCCTGTCCATTCCCTAGTCCTCCAGTTCAACAGATTTCCTCTGTTCTGTAGATTTCCAGGAAGCTTATTTTCTTCTCTCTTCTGTGTTCCTCAGCAGTATCTATCACTGCTGTGTGTCTGACAGTTGTGTGGTCCTTAAAAACAGAGTGCTGGCTTAATAGTTGTTGAAGGCAACATGTTAAAGTCAGCCTTCCTTGAGTATTGCTTGCTACAACAACCTCATTCAGCATCTGTAGAACAGACAAAGAGGAATATGACAAAGAAAAATTACTTGCAGGTAATTTCAGTTGTCACCATACTCTCTTTCTTCATCTTAAAGCCTGACTTCTTTTCTGCCAAAACATTCCTATATATTGTTATATACTGCTTTCTGGGTGGGGTTTGGTTTTTTTTTTACTTTGAAAATATTTAAGAAAGAAGGCTTTGCCTTCTGCAATGCTGGTAGATGAAAAAATATTACCAATTATCCCTTCTGTCTGTATATATGATGGGAAAAGAAACAAGGAGTTACTTGTAAATAGGCATTCTGGTTCTCTGTAACAGTTCTCTGCATAACTTTTAGGCAGAGAAACAAAAAGCTTACTAAGGACAAACTGCCGTTGATTGTGTAAACAAGAATTTTTTTGAAGAATACGAGGGAAAGACCATTGAAACACGAATACTGGAAAGAAACCATGTCATTATAAGATATAGTAGCGTAATAATCATACTAATATTAG